TTTGAGACGGGGTCTCACTATGTAGCTGAGATTGACCTGGAACTCACTATGTAGCCCAGGCTGGTCTCAAACTCACAGCAATCCTCCTGCCTCAGCCTCCTAAGTGCTGGGATTACAGGTGTGTGCCACCATGCCTGGCCATATATATAGATATATATATTCTTAATGTATGGTGGTTAAATAATATTTGAATGGTCATTCAAGCCAAGCAATTTTAATCTTTGAATTATGCATTACTAAACTGCCAAAATTATTAAAATCAAACAACCAAGTGTTGGTGAGAATATAGGGAAACACACACACTAATATATTACTGGAAATACTATAAATTGTAGGGCAGCTGTACATACTCTTTACCCCAGTGATTACACTTCTCATGTCTAAGAATACAGTGGGGAGTAGAGCATTGCTAGTGTACACCTGTGATCCCATTACTCTGGTAGGTTTAGGTGGGAGGACTGCAAATTTGAGCCCAGACTAGGCAACTTAACTTCTCAAAACCTTGTCTCAAAATAAAAATATATAAAAATGCCCTGGGAATATAGCTCAGTATAAAGGGCCTAGGTTCAATCCCCAATACCTAAATAAATATCCAGTATGCTCTTGAAGAAATGGCTGGTTCTGATTTTAGGGCTAGGCCAGTATATACAGAAGACAAGAGTAGAGCACCTGGTACTTTCAGAAAGCAAGAAAGTGCTAAGAAAACAAAAACACACAGTAATGGAGATCATTCAAAGGGACAGGAACAAAAGAGCTCCTAACTTCCAAAGCTGGTATAATTTGAGTAACAATACATTAATATTGGGTTGTAATTGGAAGTATAAAATACCTATGCACCAAACTGATATGATTGACTAAATAAGAATAATGTCCCTTGCAGAGGATGTCATTTGCTGTTTTTGTTTTTGTTTTGTTTTGTTTTTGACAGGGTCTTGCTATGCAATCCAGGCTGGCCTTGAACTTGCTATGTAGTCCGTGCTGGCCTCGAACCCATGGCAATCCTCCTGCCTCAGCCTCCCACTATGCCACCACGCCTGACTGTTCATTATTCTACTTTTCATATTGTATAATCTTTATTTACTATATTCATGTCAGCTGATTCCACCATCCCTTTTTTTTTGGTACTGGGGATCAAACTCAAGTCCTTGTGCTTGCAAGGCTGGCAGCAGCACTAATGGGCTAAATCTCCAGCCCAGCTGATCCTTTCTTCTGCCATCTTAGATCTTCTGTTCAGCCTCTGTAGTAATTTTTTATTATTGTTTTTCTTTTAAATTTTTATTATGTTTGGCATTCAGGTTTATGTTTTTCAACTCCAGAATTATTTTGGTATTTTTTTCTTTTTTACGTTTGGGTTTTTGAAATAATTTCTATGCTTTTATTTATATTCCCTTGTTTTTTCAAGACATAGTCTTGGCATGTTGCTCAGGCTGGCCTTGAACTCACAATTCTCCTGCCTCAGCCTCCCCAGTAGCTGGTATAGGTGTGTGCCACTGGGTCCAGTTTATTGATAGTCTCTTTGACAAACTGGTATTCTACTTCCCTATAGTTCTTTAATATTATTTCTGTAAGTTCTATGAACATATTTATAACAGTTGCTGTAGAATCTTTATCTGTTTAGTTCATCATGTGAATTGCCTTAAAATTTCCACTGACATGGCGCACGCCTGTAATCCCAGCACTCGGGAGGGTGAGGCAGGAGGATCGCTGTGAGTTCAAAACCAGCCGGCTACATAG